GGCCGAGCCGTAAGGCTGACAACCTCACCGCCATATGTGAGCCGATTATATAGAGAAAATGTGGGAGCCTCGACGTCTCACAACCCTATCGGCTTTCACGGCCTGTTACAGGGCGAATTTTAGCTCTATTTACAGGATGTCACGCTACATGTCGATTGCCAAGCTAACCTGCTTGGTCCGAGGCTGCATTACTATGATTTTCCCTTTTCCGTCACCAGAATGTCTAAAATTAATTGTATCCTTGTTCGTTTTATCTGAAATCTAACGAAACGCACTAATAATAATAATAATAGTAATTTAACGTGCGGGTTTGTGGACGAGAAGCAACGCAACAAATGTACAGCTTCCACACTGGGTCGTTACAGGAACTGTACCCCAAGCGGCTCCCTCTTCATACCTACTCGGACGTGTGCATTGCTTTATCTTCCAGAGTCTCTGATATATTTGGCACGTCGTAAAGGAAAAAATCCTCATATAAAACAGTCGTTACTAAATAAAGCGTACAAGCAGCCAGTTAAGTACTTTGTTAATGGCGTTTCCCTCTTAATAGGGGCACATTTCTCTGGCCTATACAGAGAAGATAATGTTTTACTGCATGCGTTACGCTTGTTGCAGTGCGGATTGTAGTTTGTATTGAAATGGAAATGAGATGAAGCTTCTTGCTGGTACAGGTCGTTGCTTGAACGTGCCTTGGCTGTAAACTCTCGAGTTACGAAGACTTGTCTCAGCTGCCGTTTGTAGTTTGCAGAATGCACTTTACAATCTTACGTACAAGACTTTAAGAAGTATATAAAAACTGTCAGCTATATATTTTTGGTGTGAGAAGTGAAGGGGCTGAATTTCACTAAAATTTTAGTCATTAAGAAAAAAAAAATTGCCACTGAAAGACACGCTGTAGGAAAGTGATTTCGAGTAAAGTAACGTTTTTTTGTGTTGTATACCAATTATCTGATATTTTACGAGTTCTTGCGAAATCGGTATGATGAACATGTAATGGAAAGGTAATTTCTCTTTAGTCTTCCCACATGTTCATCTCAGACCCTCCCGAACGCCTTATATGCGTATCATGTTGTCAGGCCAGTTCCATCCTATTTTGTATCTGTCAGTTGTAGCCCTTGCTTCACATGCAGCTGAACTGGACCTCCTATTGCTTCAAGGACAACGTTTGTTACAGAAAAATTGGTACGCGATGCGAAGTATGGATGCCATTAAAATCTGTAACGTTGTTTCCAGCAGTTTTAATCACATTGAATACTATCTGACTCCATTTAGCACAGCTGATATTCGCTCAACTAGTCGAGAAATTTCACCTTTTATGAAATCCGAAAGTACATTACCATATTAAAATGAATTCACTACTGGTCCCTATCCTGAGGCAAATGAATCCAGTGTACTACTTCCCATTGTATTTATTTAAGATACGTTTTAATATTTTCTTCCCATGTACGTTCATATCGTCCAAATACTCTCTTCCCTTCAGGTTTTCCGAATGGAACTCAATGCATTTTTCGTGTCTCCCATGCGTGCTGCATGCCTGGCTCATAATTTTATCTTTGATGTGATCATAATAATTTCCCGACAGGTTCTGGGCGTCCATCAAGCCTCCTACCTAATGGGTACCGGGGACTATTCCCAAGTGTTAAAGCGGCCGGGGCGTGAAGCTGACCACTCACCTTTTACTAGTGCCGAGGTCGAGGAAACATGGATCTATACATCCACTCCCCCATACGCTTTCGTGGCATAATGCTTTATTAGTTAAGCACAAGGACTTTACTTTACACTTCGTAACAGCCAACTCTTTTAACGATCTTTTCAAACTACACGCGACTCTG